GGCTTGATTGTGTTTATGGGGTGCAGTCTAACACGTGTTAATGCTTCATTTAAAAAAAAAAAAAAAACACAATTTTTTTCACATAATTTACCTTTATTCCACACCGCTCTGTCCCTTCTCTGATAAACGCTCTGATGATTTCCTGTTTTTATGATGCCCCTCCCTCAGAAATACGCGATGGGCTCAGATTGGTCAGCTGGCCCAGTGTGTTGTGATTGGCTAAACCGCTAGTGCGCGTCTAATTGAGTGACGCGAGGAATAGGATTAAGAACCGCTGCCTTAGAACATTGATTTTGTGAATCCTTTAGAATTGTAGAAGATAGAATCACGATTCATATATGAATAGATTTTTTCATGCACCCCTATTTTTGACGCCATGGCAACAACTCTTCGGCCGTTTCTCAATATGCGTTCTTGTCTGTACTTGTGTTCTTGTGGACTTGTGAAATGTCATCAGTCGTCACCCAAGTACTGTTCCAATTCAAAGTTCACATCTAGCCAAGTACAGTTCAAATCCCCGGATGTGTTCTTGCTCCGCCCCTTTTATCAAGGATGCATCCAGAGGTGACTTGTGCGAACTTGAGGCAGCCAGGTATCCCAGAATGCATTTCGCACCAACCAGCGAGCGTTAATGGCGGATTAGAAAACCTGCATAATTTTCAAAATATTACTGTTATTGTGTCATGAAATGCAGTTGTAAGAGTATTTCAGGCGAGAATGTAGTTGTTTAAAACTCAAATCTGTGGTTTATTTATAAAGATAGCGCCTATTTGAAAATTAGCTCCGCCGATTTCGGAGACGTGAGCTCCACGTGATCAGCGGGCGCTCAATGCTCATGTATCCGCCGAGAGCAGTCTCACCTCGGCTAGTCCCTAACAAATTAACTCTGTAGTCAGAGCCAGTTTTTTGCAGCTTAAGGGGCTTCGCAAGCTGAAAAGTTTTCTTAGTTTTAATGATTTAGAGGTTGTTATTCATGCATTAATTTCAACAAGGCTGGATTACTGTAATGCTCTTTATGCTGGAATTAACCAGTCTTCACTATCACGTTTACAATTGGTACAGAATGCTGCTTGACAGGGACAAAAAAGAGGGAGCATATTACCCCTGTGTTAGCTTCACTTCACTGGTTACCTGTTAAATTCAGAGTTGATTAAGGTGCTATATAAATAAACTTGACCTTGACCTTGACCTCAGCTAGTCCCTCTGACATTTGCCGCTGGCTCTGATGTCTCTGTAGTGGTTAAACATAAGATATAATTCATTTTGGGTAAATCTAACAGGCAATCTTTGGTCTCATGAATCTATTATTTCTTCCAGGTCATATCGTTTTGGCTGAGCACAAAGTTATGTTTCATAAATTATTTATTTATTAATCGTAATACAGCATTGACTTTGCTGCATACATTTGACTGAATTGTTTGCTTTTGTCTTATTTCCTATTGCATAAGTATCTTATACTTTATAGTTATACTTTTATAATGGCTAGTATTGTTCATTAAAACTGACATTTAACAAAAAAGGCAGAGTTGTGCTTGTATATAATATATATATATGAAAATTTAATATAATACTATTTCATTTTATTATACATTCAGTGAAGATAATTAGAGTATATGTGCACATATTACCTAAACCACATATTAATATGTTTTATATTTTTAAAATGAAAACGAAAAGGGTTGTGTTATATTTTGAAGAAAACGAAAAGGCAGTGGTGTTTGATATAATTTAGTTTTATTGTAATGTGTGTACGCGTTGCATGCACATTTTTGTTGCTATTAATATTTTAAATGAAACCGAAAGAGGCAATGCTGTTTGACATATTATTTCGTTTCACTATAATGTATGTACGTTCCCTGAACTAAATTTTTGCAGCTATTAATGTTTAAAAGAAAACGAAAAGAGGCAGTGGTGTTTGATATCATATTTCATCGTATTGTATACATACAGTGAAGATAACCGGAGTACCCAAGGCGAGCTGACTGACGTTATCAAGTACGCTGCTGTTCCATTTGCAGAATTACCGGACTTGCGAACTTTGCGTACTTGGAATTGAGAAACAGCCTTCCTCTTCTCTAAAGCAGATGGCCTCGCCCCTTTGTTGCGTGTTCCTGGGGGCGGGGTTTATGTAAATTTCAGGGTTTGTAACGTCACAAACCTGGGAAGGAGCTTGTTGTAATCCCTACGAGCCGTTTTTGTAGGCATTAAACTGCCATAATTTTAACAGACGATATATTTGTTTGCATTGAACTTTCAGCGTCGTAACTTTGCAGATATTGTTTATGCTCAAACAGCAACATTACACACTAACTAACGTTAAAAAAGCAATCAACCACCCCTTTAAATTGTGAAAGTAATATTAACTTTTTGCCAGGCTTTCATGCATAAACACATGAGATCTATCGATCTATGTACCACATGGTTACTTCTGATTTTTAGGGGAGTTATAGAGGAAATTACCTCAATATGCCCACAAATATGGGTGTATGGATGTGGACTCACATTACTGAGAAGTTCAAAGGCCTCAGTCAGAGCCACGTCCAGCATGCCTATCCCTTTAGCAAAGAGCTTATCAAGACGGTCACGGAAATGCTATGGAGAAAAACACAAACACAACCTAGCAGTAAGAGATGTCATGCTGATGTGGATCGTGCATAATTTTTTTAAGTACAAACTTTCTATGTGTCAGATAAGGCTTGGCCAGCAACACTTCACATTCATTAAAAAGCAACAATTTGTTAGAAAAGCATTTGGTCAGACTCTAACATAGTGTAGTTCATACTCTGGTTTTCACTTGACTCTCACCAAATTTATGTCATGCTGTCCTTCTTACTGCAATGAAAAACTTTTAAAAGCCTTTTTTATCCAGATAACCTTCAAAGGGCTGGTTAAAAGGTGCTCAAAATCATTCATAAAAATAGATGACAGTAGTTTTTCTCCCAGCCTGTAGTTTTCAGCTTGTCTACATGACCCTGACAATGACTCCTGTCTCCAGTCTGCCTCTGATACTGAGCTTTGTTTTGCCCTTTGGACTCTGGTCATTAGTCTCCCTGCCCTTCTGGTTCTGAGCCTTGACTTTGTCTCCTGCTTCCTCTGTCCTTGTCCGTCCACTACTTTTACCACCTGTCATGAGCTTCACAAAAGCTATTTTGAGTTTATCCCATTATTGAGTTCTCTTTTGCCAAACCTGACACTGACCAGTGGACAACACAGTTAGTTATAGTTTACATACAGGTATATCAGAAAATGTACTTACATCTTTGTTGGTAACGTCAGCTTGAACTAATGTTCCGTTCAGACACGGCTCCACATAATGCAGCTCCTCATTGTACTGCCACACACAAAATAAATACATCAAGCAAGACCAGTATAGGGATAGAATTGTTTTGTATTTACAAATACATATATTATGATCCACAAATAAATGGAAAGAGATTCACAAAAATTGAACAAATTCTCAAATAAACACAACAAAATCCACAAATACATGTTAGGAGTTCCACGAAAATGGATTAGTATTAAACAGGATCCTGGGGAGTCCACAGAAGATATTTGTATGATCGACCCTGGGAAAGGATGCAAGTTCTTCAGCAGGCAAAATAGCTCTAAAATTTAAAATCTTCATGATGATGTAGTGTATTTCTGTGGGGATGAGACCATTGTACCAGTTGCACTCAGACGTTTTAAATAATACTGAACATGAAAATGAAAATCACTTGCAGATCACTGTATTTTGTTATAACCATTCAGAGTGAACTGAGTGATTTGAGCCTGTGTAAGATGGGACTAAGGTACAAATGTAAAGAATGTATTTGTGCATAGCACCCAGTGACATGGCATAAAAGCCAACATCTGCTCAAACCAAATGAATGTATTTTATTTAGCTTAATATTGATATTGTGATAAAATGAAATCAAAATATTTTCTTTGCTTAAACTTACAGCAATAATGTTAAAAAAGTCATCATCCCCAAGTGTATCCAATATGGAGGAGACAGTCTGTCGAGCGATGGTCAGCCGTAGCCCCTTCATACTGCCACTCACATCCACCAAAATGACCACATCTTTAGGAGATGTAGCAGCCTGGATATACCTGTAAATACACAGATGTTAGGAGAGTATGATAGGATAATTATGTTGACAATGAGTATGGATCAGTTTATACCAGAATTTCATATCTAAGAGATTAAATGTTAAAAAGACATGAATTGATACTTTGTCACTTGTACAAATTAATGAATTTAAATCCATAAGTTGTTTTATGGTTAAGTGGTACGCATATTCATCTTTGGCATGATGTTAATAGCTCATAACTGAGGGTGAATAATCACTTACCATTTTCGATTTCGACAGTCGAATTCTAGAACCCCATGTTCATCAGGTGTCCACTTTATACCTGTGAAGATATAAACATTTTCCTTACTGCACAAATTGTAACTCTCTTATGCCTTTTTATTTCTGTCCCTATTTGATGGAAGGACATAATAAACTTTGATCACCAGCTGCTATTATTAAATTAGCCGATGTCTAATAGAGACGATTATTACTTCTATTGACTGCACTGTGAGAAAACAAATTGGAGTGGAGTTAAAAAAAAAAAAAAATCCTGCTCTAGAGCACTCACTGGAACAGCCTGGTTCCTTTTAAATATAATTTAGTTTCCAGGCAGACTAATTAAAGCTAATAAATTGCATAAATTGATTGTACCAGGCTATTTTAGCCAGTACACATTTTAAATCTCATCAGCCTTTTATGAAGCAGTTTCAAATAATACCTGAAGTAGTTTGCTATTGTTACGGGGCTGACAAGACGTGAGATGTGCGGATCCATGTGCAAGCTTTATTTAAAGCAGAGAGGTCAGAAACACAGGCAGGGTCGAACAGTAGCAAACAGGTATATGGCGGGCAAGACACAAGAATAGTCCTACGGCTAGCGTAGGTCAACGATCGGCGAACAGAATCACAAGGGCGAGACTAGAGGGATAAATGCAGGAAAACAGGCAAAGATCAGAAACCAAGAAAACAGACAAGGCAGACTAAGCTAAGGCAGGGTAAACTAAACCGGCTCCGTAGTGTAGCTATCAAAACGATAAGCGCTAAACAATACTCGGCAGTTAGAAAGGAGTGAGATTGAGTGTTAAATAGTGAGTGAGTGATATGAAACAGCTGTGTGCAATCAGTGCTGTGTGCAATAAGTGCTGTGTGCAATCAGTGCAATGGCTGATGGGATATGTAGTCCGGGATGACATGCAACAGTTTGTGTTGTGCGAGAGTCACTGTAATGGAAGGGTGACCTCTGGTGGTGATTGAACGGAAGTCCATGGACCGAGAGTCAATGAAAATGGAAAGGGTGACCTCTGATGGCTAGCAGACGGAAGTTCATGGACCGGATACGTAACAGCTATGCCGGATATAGGGCTCATGAATATTAATCACATTGTCTGCTTTCAAAACATGGACGGGGAAACTTAGTGGTAAGAGAAAAAGTGGTTCTCCAATTATTTAATTTTTAACCACTGCTGCATGATGTGATGTTGTTTATGTGTGTGCTATAGAGACAGCAATATTACAAGACAATGCAATAAAAAAGGCAAAAAAAAAAAAAACAATCAATCATTCAATACATTTGCACATAAGATTTTTCCAGATGCATAGGACTTGATTGGACACAACACACATTCTTGAATGGTCTGGTCTAAAGCAGCAGTATTCTACACCAATCAAAGGTAACTATTACAGAGCTCGCCGTACAGTATTAGATGACGAATACGAAGAAACGCCAGCGGTAAGTGTTTGGGAATTTCACTTTGGCAGGCATCATTTCATGGTCGATTAATTGAATATGTGCACTGTGGAATGAAAACCCTCTGTCATCACTTACATAAGTGAAAAACGTACTTGTATGATTAAAAACATCTTAATAAAGCTCCTTACATTTACATGTAACTGTGTTTAGAGGAGCGGATATGTTTCTGCAGAACATTCTACCTCTGGCCTGTTAACATTTAGCTAACCAATGTTGACTAAAAAAGTGCATCTAATACAACATTAAAGGAAGTCCCCCCCCCAACATTATTACCCATAACCCATAGCCTCAGGCAAACGGTCTGCAGTTCTGACTTGGACCAAAGAACTGACAAGCTATTAGATGACGAATATGAAGAAACGCCAGCGGTAAGTGTTTGGGAATTTCACTTTGGCAGGCATCATTTCATTGTCGATTAATTGAATATGTGCACTGTGGAATGAAAACCCTCTGTCATCACTTACATAAGTGAAAAACGTACTTGTATGATTAAAAACATCTTAATAAAGCTCCTTACATTTACATGTAACTGTGTTTAGAGGAGCGGATATGTTTCTGCAGAACATTCTACCTCTGGCCTGTTAACATTTAGCTAACCAATGTTGACTAAAAAAGTGCATCTAATACAACATTAAAGGAAGTCCCCCCCCCAACATTATTACCCATAACCCATAGCCTCAGGCAAACGGTCTGCAGTTCTGACTTGGACCAAAGAACTGACAAGCTACTGATACAGCCATGCATGAACTGAGCACTTGAATAAAGGGGCGAAAAAACTTTTTATGGTTTCTCATGGTTTATGTAAAAAGTGAGTTTATGAGTTAAGACTAAATGTATTCACCTTATATGCTTTAAAATCTATTTCACATCATTACTGAGGGCTTTACATAAACGTGTTAGGACTCTGGCTTGATCTTTCTCTCTTTTGTTTTTGTTTTCCTTCTGCATGTAGTGGCCATTCTTAGGTGATCACGCTCTTCAATCTCACAGCTGTTTATTATTTCCTCCCTTATTACTCTGCTATTTCATCTTCTGCGTTCTTCCTTTTGTTGCCAGTGTGTTTTGTGTTCTTACGCTTCACACTCCTCTTGCTGTTTATTTCATTAGTTTGTTGGTCTTTTGTGTTGCTCTCTTTTTGTCCCTATCATCTGCCCAGTTATCCCTTTGGAATTTTGGACTGTCTGTATTTTCTGGTCAATGGACTGCGCAACTGCTTAAGGCTTTTGTTCAAATAAACCTGTATTTGAGCATCTCTCTGCTTTTGGATCCTTCGTTACAGTAAACCTAACAGAACTGTTGAATTGGCTATTTAAACCAGTTTGTGAAATGATCGAACCAGCTTGTGGAAAAGAATCAGACTTCCCTGTTTGCCTGAGGCTATGAAATACAGGTAATAATGTAAATAATTTTCCGTTTCTTGCACAGACCATCTTCTTAAGACTACAATATCATCAGGAGCCACTGGTATTAATTTTGTATTGCCTGTATATGTTTTTTTCTTAACGCTCAATTGTCGATAGCTGCTGACTTGCATTTTAGTTATCACTAAGGACCATGATTTCAGCTAAAAAATGTCTTCACTGTTCTTCCGAAGACAAAAAGTCACCCACATCTTGGATCGCCTGAGGGTGAGTAAATTAACAGCTGATTTTCATTTTTGGGCGAACTATCCCTTTTAAGTTTAAATAGCTGGATAACTTACAGTATTAGGAACAAATTCAATAAAAATTAATTGTTGGATCCTCAAATAGTGCCATCTGATTGATTCAGACTATGTCATCAAAATCTTAGTGATGTCCGGTTCGCGAACGAATCATTCTTTTTAACCGGTTCTTCTTAGTAAACCAGTTGAACCAGTTCACCAAATCGAACTGAATCGTTTGAAACGGTTCGCATCTCCAGTAAGCACTAAACCACAAATTACTTAAGTTATTCACTTTAACATGCCTGACACTCCCTCTGACTCGAAATAAACCAATATCCTGTTATTCAGTTACTCAAACAGTACACCGACTGAACTGCTGATGAGCACGAGTAGAGCATGCAGCTGATGATATACTGAATGTGCGTGCAACGTGCCGGTTAGAGTGGTTCTTGTTCTCGAGTCAAGAATCGGTTGCAACGGTTTTCGGCTCACCAGTACACTGAACCGAGAACCGTTTCTTTCGGACACGTCCGATATGAGAACCGATGAGCTGATGATACTGTGCATGCGTGATTCAGCGTGACGCTACCGAACAGTACATGATTGCCTACAATGACTGACTTGACACAGCACGTCTGAACCAGTTCTTTTGGACAACTGATGCTATGAGGGGCGCAAAGTAAGTTTATTTAATAACAAATAAATCGTAATGGATTATGCATAGTAAGTGGATCATTGTTTCTGCACTGATGAGGACTAATTTATTCACATTATATCTTTAAGACTTGTAAAAAAATCCTCGTTTGCATATCTGCCTGTACCTGTATTTGGGTGCTTTAGTTGCAAATCTTAACTGTAAGAAACTGATGATGTTTTAACTGACTGAAGTAATGATTACTGACTTTATATGTTGGGTGTATTTTCATCCCGGCCCGGGACGATAGACTTGACATCGTTATGTCATTGCGAATGACGTCATTACGTTAGGGCGTAAAAGAACCGGTGAACCGTTTTTTTTTTTTTTTTTTCGGAACGAAATGTCCGAAAGAACCAGTTCGCGGGAAAGATCTGAACTTCCCATTACTACAAAATCTCACTCCAGCCAAGTAAGTTGGCAGTACTTTATAAACACTGCCAGCATATAAGAAATGAGAAAAGGAAAAAAAAACACTGAAAACTCACCTGGATACTGTCTGAAGAAACCTTTGGCGCTACCAAAGTACTGCCATATGAGAGTAGAGTCTCTTTTAAAGTTATCCACAAACACCTTATTGAGTGCCTCTGACCAGTACACTCCATTCACTATGGCTGAGTCTGCAAAGGAAGTCTGAATGAATTAGACAGAACATTTATAACAATAATTATATATATATATATGTATATGTTTTTTTACAGTAAATTAAAAGTAAATCATTATCAATCAGTATTCTGAAAACACAATATATGATATATATTTGTATGAAATCTGGCAGCTGCTGTCCAGTCTTGAAGTATATGGTAAAAGTATCCAACACATACCAAACTTAAAATCTGGTTGTGATACATTTAGCAGCAATTACTGCAAACAAACACTTCTGATACCTGGGGAACAGTCTTGTACAGCACTGTGGAGGAATTTTGGCCCACATTACTATGCAGAACTGCTATAGTTCAGCCACACTGGAGGGTTTTCGAGCACAAACTACCCGTTTAAGGTCCTGCCACGGCATCTTAACTGGGTTCAAGTCAGGTCTGGGTTCAAGCTTCAACTTCCAGGCCGAAGACCTACTTTCTCATGCTATGTATTTTCTTTCACCTCTGGCATAATCAGTGTGTCCTGGTCCTTGAATCTGATTGGAAGAGAGGCCTTCCAAGAGTGCTGCTATTTCACCTGTATCAGCATTTGAACTACTAGGTCATGTGACCTACACTGTGACTTGTTGCGATGCTTCACTACCATTTACAACTCCTATCCTGTGGTCTCATGAAACTGAAATTTTCCTGCAAAATCTGACCTGACAGCTCAAATTCTAAATCACTTTTATAAGTTTACAGTTGTGAACCAGGGTAATGTAAGGAGACCGTTTTAGAACACAAATTGTTATGTACAAGCTAAAAAAAAAAAACTTCCATACTTCAGCTTTAAGGTGCAGAACAAACAGAAACAGAGAAGAAGAAAAATACTCTCACTCGAAATTATTATTCACTAGCTGAGCAATCCACTGATAAGAGTCCTACCCTGGAGTCCACATTTGCATATGAAAGAGGAGAGAGGGATAGTTCTTAGCAGAATCTTATTCAGTGACCAAGTGGTGCTTTATTCATAAGAAAAGGAAATAATCCTTAAGTGTAAGTAATGCAATGCATTCTGGGTTCCACTTGGGACCCCTTATGCTTGATTTGGTATCTTCTTTCTTCTGATTACACTTTTACAGTGAATATAGTTTTTTTTATAATTCAGCTTTAAGGTGCAGAACAAACAGAAACAGAGAAGAAGAAAAATACTCTCACTCGAAATTATTATTCACTAGCTGAGCAATCCACTGATAAGAGTCCTACCCTGGAGTCCACATTTGCATATGAAAGAGGAGAGAGGGATAGTTCTTAGCAGAATCTTATTCAGTGACCAAGTGGTGCTTTATTCATAAGAAAAGGAAATAATCCTTAAGTGTAAGTAATGCAATGCATTCTGGGTTCCACTTGGGACCCCTTATGCTTGATTTGGTATCTTCTTTCTTCTGATTACACTTTTACAGTGAATATAGTTTTTTTTATTGAGAAGTCTTCCTCAAAAAGTAAACCTTTGTTTTTAATATTAACATTTTTAGTATGTGAGATTATTTGTTATATGATGGATCGTTCATGTCTTTGATTATGACTGGTTAAGCCACATTCAAAACCATTGTAAAGTACTCTAGAACATCATTACATCAGTATTACCTCACCTGTGTGTTGTTTGGCAACCACTGTGCTGTTGCTTGGTGAAGAACTATTATTTTTATAAATGTCATTACATTTTTGTTGCTGTGTTTATTTAATGAATAAAATACATTTTACAATAAATATTTTCATGAAATAATTTAATTAAATTATTAATTTAAAAGTAACAAGCCCTGCAAAGGGGTGGATTACAGTGAATTAAGAACAGCTACAGTAAGGCATGGCTTCGTGAGGCTCTTTGCTTTAGTATATGAGACCTTATAAGAATAAATCAAGTGATGTAAAACATGCAGATATCTGCCATTTAATTATGACTAGTCAAAATCTAATTTGAGATCTGCTTGGATTACAGTAAAGTTTTACATTTCTAGCAGTCAAATAAAAGTTGAAGATATATCAAAATATCGTTCTGACTAGTAACAATACAATTAGAAATAGTAAAACATTTATTTTTAGATCTCAAGTGAAATTTTAAGTGTTGATAATAACATTACAGATCCTACACTGGCACTTCTCCACCAGTTTCTTGTATTTTGTGCATTTACTTTCATTTGCTTCTTCAATTATTTGCATTTACATTGAATGAAAATGATCAGAAGAATGACTGCAAATTTTAAATCCATTTCTGAGCTCCATAATATTTTGTATTACTACAAAAATGTATTGTATTGTGGCACCACTGCTAATCTTTTGAGGTGGAGCGTGTGTTTCTGGTTGACATAACAATAATATTTAGTCTCTTAAAATGTAATTCTTACTTAAGCGGAGTTGCGGATTTCATTCAAAATAATAATTATGGCTAGTAACACTGGGGGGTGCAGCTTCACATGATCACAAACAGTGAAACATTCCAGTGTTGTTATATGAAATATCAGCAGCATTTGGAAACTGCTTGACTAATCAAATCAGGGGACTGGAACTGACCTCTAAACACATGTCTCTATCAACATCCTTTTGATGTACATGTCATCTTACAGTGATGATGTGTCTAACGTATTTAATGCTGATCATACCTTTGTTGTACATGTTAGTTGGAACCTGGACGACACTGAGGCTGAGGTTTACAGACAGATTGTTGAAATGTTCATTCGGCTGCAAGATGAATTCTCCACCCAGCTCCAAACTCCTGCCCTCCTCATCCATCTCATTGATCAGCACTGCATTAAAGTACTCGTACTGTCAAGAAAGAGAGAGAATGTAATAAATGACTAGAGTGAGGTCATCACAAATTATTTCGTCTTGATCAAACTCAAAACACACTGTGAAAACTACATGCAGAAATACTTCTTTTGTTTTGGCAGAGCAACTGTCCTCCCTCAGAGACACAGGGTTTGAATGCGGCCCAGCAGTGTGTTGGTTGAGAACAACTGTTAGTCCTTAAATCTTTTAGGTGAATAAATTGTTTATTCACTGTTTACCTCCATGCACTGCCAATTCTCTCACTTGTAAAATAGAAATGAAGGCCTGAACTGGTTCAAAGAGGACAAAGAGAGAATATGTTTGGAAGACATTATCAGGAAACATGAAGTTAGTTTTCGCTGTTATGATAATGATCCTTAGACTTATATTTCCTCAGGACAATAAAACTTTCAATTTTTCCAGGTTAATAGATTTTAGTATAATATCATTAGTTGGATGCTTAGTAATTTCCTTTTACTGCATTCTGATAAAACAGGGGTACTAATTATTCAACCAATAATCTGAATGGTTGTCATCTTCCAAGGTTGAGGTCTTGGGTGTAATGTTGGATAGCAGTCTTTCATAAGTTTCATAAATATTTCAAATTCATCTCATGATGAGACAGTGAAACAAGAGACTGACAGACCCAGCTGTGGCCTGACCAGATGTCCCACGTCACTGCTACAGTACATGCTGTGACTAACCTCACCCTAAACAGGGTCATAATAACTGGGATCCAGTATAACTTTATCAACCCTGCGAGTAATTGTGTTTGATTGGATATTTTCATTATGCGTGGAAGAGGTTAGTAATGGAGTTTGATCCAACTTTTTTTATTTGAACTATTGGAAATACTGAAAAAGTGTAGGAACTTCTACATATTGCAGATGTCTTTCATGTTGTAGTGTCTCCTAATACTACTAAGCATCTGTGTAAGGGCAAGTTACATCAAAGATTGGTGAACATGCAGATTTTGCTAGCCGAGCCAGTGGACAGTGCTGTTAAAGAGGCCGTTGTTGTGTTGCTGGTGGCCGATGAGAAGCCTCTTTGACCTCAAAAGGCCCAAAGAGATGTGATCACTGCTACTTCAGTCAAGGTTGATAAGTTTGGATTGTGATGCTGTAAAAACTGCTCTGCTAAGGGCTTATGAGTTCCATTCACTTATCGCAACACAATAAAATACTTTTTTGTATATGGAGTCAAAAGATTCTGTGATGACTCAAAATACCCTCTAGTAACATTCTACCCTGTCGGTAACACTTTATAACAACGGCATGCTATGAATCATTGGTTAAGCATTAGTAATAGTCAGTTTATCATTTATAAAGCATCGTCCCTACATTAATATACATTAGTAAGCACTTTATAAATGCAGCTATACATGCTTTCTTCTTGATTTATGAGCACATAATGTTTTTAATAATTCTACTTTCATAAATTATTAATGATCAATTTATCATTTCTAAATTAAGTATTACATTATTTACAAACCAGTAAGGAATGGTTAGTGGTTCATAAGATCATTAAATCATCAGCGTAAACTCACTTATTGTAAAGAGAGACGCACAAAAGCGCGTACACACAACTTTCATCTCTCTCTCTCTCTCTCTCTCTCTCTCTTTCTCTCGAATTGACAATATTTGAGAAAAGGGTTTAGCGATTTCTAATTGTTGGGGGACTAGCCCTCCTCAATGTCTATGGTGGTCATTGTCCTGATCAGACATGAAAATATGTTGTGGCACTATCGTGCAGTCAGTAATGATATGACGTTTGCAAACATTTCTTTGAATAACATGACCGTAAATATGAACTCACGATTGAATGTAACATAAAACAAATGATTACTTTTCATTAAAACCTTTATTAATGGCAAAAATGCTTAGATTTATGTGTCTTTTTGTTCGCTCGGGCAGCCATGTTGCCGCTGAAGCCGGTTTACGCTGAGATAATTCATACCCCTTCGTTTGAAGTGTGGTCCTGAAAAATCTTTGTTTGAAGGGCTATCTGGCCCTTCCCCTACCCCTCCAACCAAAAGAGAATCGAGACACCCCCACCCCTTCACGTGAACGCGCAAAACGGAGGGGTAGGTGAAAGGGGAAGGGCTGAGGGGTAGAATTGGGATTTGGATTGGGCCTTAAAGCCTCTGCAATCTGATATAAAAATAAATTATTAATCATTTGTTGGATATATTTGTTTTTCTATTTCAGCTAATTGTGAGTCTTCAGTTTGAAATGTAGAATGTATTTAAAATTTGGCAACACTAAGATTTTATGTGGAATTGTGGCACTTCTTTGTGACTCACTGTTTGCATGAATTTTCACTCAGCCATGAAACTGAAACAAGAAAACCTTCTTATGACACCAAAATATTTCGCATATTTTCTTCATTTTGTTGGTTTTTGTTAGTTTTGTTGCTTATTTTGTTGATGTATATTCCTTTTGTTGTTACTTTTTATTTATATTTACTTTATTGCTTATTTATTTTTAATTTTTTCATTTTGTTGCGTATTTACTTCCTTTTTTATTTTTATATGATATTGCAGAGGTTTATTTTTTCATTTTATTTCAAGTGTACAGCTGCACAGTTTCATTGTTTGCATCTTCAAACACACACATACAGTAAATACACATATATATGTTCTGTATTACTCTTGTTGTGTTTGTTTCCTAAGCCTTTAAATCTTCTTTGTAAAAGCTTTATGTGGCATAAATAGTCTTCACTTTAGATGAGCTCACGAAAATAGTTAACTGACAACTACTAAATGTTTTATAACTAGCTGAATTAATCATGAATTACAGTAGGAATATGTGTTAATAAAGCATTTATTACCACACTATTACTATATTTCTAAATTACATTTATAAATGTACATTTTAATAGTTTGTTAATCATTACTTACACATTCTAAATGATCTTATGAACCACTGATGACAACTAAATACTGTTTTTTAAATAATGTAATACTTAATTTAGGAATGATAAATTGATAATTAATAAATTATGAAAATACAATTATTAAACACATTATAGATATGCTCATAAATCAAGAACAAAGCATTTATAGCTGCATTTATAAACGGCTTACTAATTGTCTATTAATGTAGGGACAATCCTTTATAAATGATGAATTGAATATTTACGAATGCTTAACTAATGATTCATAGCGTGCAGTTATTATAAAGTGTTACCCATTTGGGTATTTATTTTTTCACTAGGGACTACAGTTCATTTTACATCTGGTGAGCAGGCACTTATTCAGTATGACATAGTTGATATTAACATTCCTATAGCATCAACGGCATGACACAGCACCAAGTTCCCTTGAAAGGGAACATATGCATACAACTGGGAAGGGAATGAGATGCTGCATTGTGTTGCCAACTTCAATCATGCCTGTGCATCTTCCTTCAGACAATTTGAAATTGATAAGGTTTTACAGTGGGGTCTCTTTTAAAGTATGACTGCATCAGTGATGTTATATTACTGCCATAGTTAGTCAAGACGTCAACACATGCCTCAGATACCAGTCATACTGAAGGTGTTCTCATAGCCTCAACACCATGACGCAGCATTTCATTCCCTTCCCAAGGAACCGGGTTAAATACATAACGCAGAGACATTTTTGATGGTTGCAAACATTTAAGTGAACAGAAGTGCTTATCTTGTATGTTAGTGTCTTTAACCCGCACAGCTGAAGCTGACAACTCACTTAAAAACGTTACACACTGAATTAAGCTAGCTGCTGTTAGCATACTGAATTTAGCTAACTGCAAAGGCTTGTACACAAATGCAAACAGTACATGGCAGGAGGTGTGTAATCAAGACACAAAATCTCAATAAACATTTTACTACATTGTCAAAAATATCTCATCACCAGCAAACTATATACTTTTAGAAAGGAGTAAAAGTATACAAGTTGGCATACATTTCAAGTAATCAGGGCAGGATAGAAGAACAATACACCAATGAATAAGATGATTAATAAAAGTAAAATAAAGTATAAAAAAGATATACAGTCCTGTAGTATACATCTAGGAATGCATTACAATAGGTGAGAGACATGGAAATAATACTGTATATTGAACTCTGAAATCCCCACCAAACATCCTAGCATCACAGATAGTGGACAGGGATAGTGGAGAAATGCCAAACATTTGGGGAATATAGGGACAGAATGTGCTCTCTCAGGTTACTCAGACAAAAGAGCAGCGAAATTTGAGAAACGGCAGCGCTATCAGAACACCAGATAACAGCAGCATGTGCAATGTCTTCAGCTGCAATAGAGAAAATGCCTTCAAAACAGATCCAAATTAATACACCCCAACATTCCCATTCACCTAAAGTTAAAATGCCACACAGATAAACATTGCTAATAGTACATTTACACATTTATAAACACAAATATATACTTGCTTTAGCACACACAACCCTTTTGCCCTTCTCCACTGTCACAGTGTTCATATTTTTAGCACTGCAGTGTACTGGATGAGCTATTAATAAATCATTCAGCAGTATTATATTTACAGCAGTGCTGTCATCTACTCACTGTACTCTCTTTCAGCACTGCTGTATTGTCACAAAATAAGCTTTCCAATAAACAATCTTGTGTTATAGATCCTATACCAAAAATAAAAAGTTCATTTTGTTGGATTTCCCAACATGTTCTCATTAAACTTCAAGGCTTTAGTTAATTTTGATAGTTTGCAAACATAAACAATTTCTGTATATACATCTTTGTAGATGAATGTTTATAAATACTTTTTCATAAATAAATTACTTATTTTATTTTTAGTCCCATGTGGATTTTGTTCTGTTCAGAATATTTGTAAAAATGTTGCCTTATGTGTTTCATATGTAAAAGCAAATATTTTTACTGTAGATGTTAATATGTTCATATGCACCTATGAAAACTAAAGAGATGGCTTTCCATATTGCTTCAAGAAGAACCTTTAACAACCATGGAATCTTTCGAGTGCAGGAAAGGTTCTTTATAGTGG